GGAGGCGGAGGCTGCAGTGAGCTGAGATCGAGCCACTACACTCCAGCCTGGGCAAGAGGAGCAAAACTCTGTCTCAAAACAAATAAACAAAAGAAAACAGACACAAGGGTAGTGGGGGATATTGCTGTCTCTCAGTGACTGGTGAGACAGACAGAATCTCAGAAATGACGTGGAAGAGCTGAATCTCGCTGTCCACCATTGCTCCACCACTCACTGATCATGGCGTCCATACCCGGACCCACTTCATCCAGTCTGGCCCCAGGCATTGGCTTGCTCTTTCATCAATTCGTAATTTTATTAACTCCTGAGTCATTTATTGATGTGTTTAGAGATGAAGTCTTGCTCTGTCGCCCAGGCTGGAGTGCAGTGGTGCACTGTCGCTGCAACCTTTGCCTCTGGGTTCATCCAGTTCTGCTGCTTCAGCCTCCTGAGTAGCTGGGACTACAGGTATGCACCACCATGCCCAGCTAATTTGGTTTTTTTTGTATGTTTAGTAGCAACGGGGTTTCATCGCATTGGCCAGACTGGTCTCGAACTCCTGACTGCAGGTAATCCACCCACCTTGGCCTCCCAAAATGCTGGGATTACAGGCGTGAGCCACCAGGTCCATCCATGAGCCATTTATTTATAGACTTAGCAGCCTATTCACTCATTAATGTGCCAATTCCAACCTTATACCATGTTTAAATAATTATTCATTTATCTACTGTTCATTCAGACATCTGCTCATCCATTCATACGCAGGTTTATGCTGTTTACTTGACAGAAAATTATGAGGAAGCCAGGAGGGACTGTGTTGCGGTCACCCTGTAATCATATGCCCAATGTCATGTGTATTGGTGGACACGTGACAGGCACTGAAACATTTTGTTGAACAATCAATTCATCCATCAATTCATCCATCCACTTGCCCAACTAACCATTTGTTTACCTCATTTGCCCATTCAACACTCATTCATCTTTTAGTTTTTCATGTATCCCATCATCATTTAATCAGATCATTCAATTAATCTTCATTCTCTTATAGTTTGATTCATTAATTCACCCATTCATTTATCATTTATTGCCGATTCATTGAGACACTCAGAAGTTCACTCATTATATTATTCTCTTATCTGTTCATTCACTTTCTATCGGTTCCAGTTCTTCCACTTACAGACAGAACTTTGGCAAGTTCTGAAGCTTAGTTGAATCTCAGTTTCCATATGTTCAGAAATGGGACTGATAACCTGCTTTATGAAGATTCATGAGATAATGAAATTCCTTGGTGCAATTCCTGGTATGGAGTCAGTACTCAAGAAATGGTAGCTATTATTATTTTATTTTATTTTTTTTATTTTTATTTTTTTTGAGACGGAGCTTCACTCATGTTACCCAGGCTGGAGTGCAATGGTGCGATCTCGGCTCACCACAACCTCCGCCTCCTGGGTTCAGGCAATTCTCCTGCCTCAGCCTCCTGAGTAGCTGGGATTACAGGCACGCACCGCCAGGCCCAGCTGATTTTTTGTATTTTTAGTGGAGACGGGGTTTCACCATGTTGACCAGTATGGTCTCGATCTCTTGACCTCATGATCCACCTGCCTCGGCCTCCCAAAGTGCTGGGATTACAGGCATAAGTCACCGCGCCCGGCAACTATTATTATTTTAAATGAGTATTCACAATTTCTTTTAAGTTATGAAATCATCATCTCACTCATACGTCTGTTCAGTCTTCCATCCTATTTATCTAGTTGCCCATTCATCCGTTCTCTGGTTTTAGCCCCTCCTGGATTTTGTACATCTTTGTCTTCCTCTGTAGGACACAAATGACATACAGAACATTGCACAAATGAAAGTTGTAGCTCAATTATTTACTACGAAGGAAATACTCATGTAGTTACCACCTGACTCAAGAAATACTGCCAGAACACCACACCTCTCCCCGGATAATCATATCCTGAATTTTCATAACGCTTGCTTCCTTTTTTCTCAAGTCAAAAAACTTTACTGAAATATGCATAAAGTTGGCCGGGCGCGGTGGCTCACACCTGTAATCCCAGCACTTTGGGAGGCTGAGGCGGGTGGATCACGAGGTCAAGAGATCGAGACCATCCTGCTCAACATGGTGAAACCCTGTCTCTACTAAAAATACAAAAAATCAGCTGGGCATGGTGGCTCGTGCCTGTAATCCCAGCTACTCAGGAAGCTGAGGCAGGAGAATTGCCTGAACCCAGGACGTGGAGGTTGCGGTGAGCTGAGATCGAGCCATTGCACTCCAGCCTGGGTAACATGAGTGAAACTCCGTCTCAAAAAAA